AAGGCAAAGTCTAAGTTGGTACATGCAAGTGAGTGAGTGGGCAGGTCTTATTTTACAACATTTTGTCCTATGGAATGTTTAGGGCTGAACTTGCCAGTTTAGATACTTTTACCTGGCAGAGAAATGGCTTTAGAAGATTCCAGGTAAGCAGTTTCTGTGTCAGAGCTAAGATCTTTGCTGGACTCAGTCACCACTGAAACTGTCTTCCAAAATAACATTAAGCTTCCTACTTAATTGTATATTGAGATACCTCTGAACATCCTGTTCCTATAATGGTAAAACTTTGATTCAGTATCTAAATTTCTGAGTGTCCTGGGAACTGACTTCTACCTTTCAGCATGGCATTCTCCCTCCTCTGTCAATCATACTTCTATCTTTCCTGCTGCTGACAGAACAATTCTAGATCAGCTAGTTGGCACTTCTTTCCTTTTATGCTTTTTGTTGAATAATTGCTGGTTATGCCTCAACTTTTCTAGGATGATAAGGAAAAGATTGTTGGTTGGTCCTTTGGAGGGTTTTTTTGCTTGCTGACACAGGCTGTAGAGAAAGAACATTGTGTGCAGTCTGAAGTGCTGGTTACTAAATATTTCTAGTTTGCCTCTCTCTTGGCTAATGCACGACCAGTATAACCTAGTCCTTTGGTGGTTGGAATGGGTCATTGAAATACATCTGGCTAGCAAGATGTGAACAAAGTGACTTGGATCACCTCTGAATTGGAATATTCCATAGCCAGTTGTGCCCTTCTGAAGTCTCCCTGCCCTCTGAGAAACTTGACACAACTTTCTGCTGATCCATGATAAGAAACCTGAATTGCCTAAGTTTTGAAGTTGTTTCTTACTGCAGAAAAACCTGGCCAAACCTGGCTAGTTGAAGCAGTATGTTTTATGAGAATTTAGTCTTCTTTCCTTGTTGTGGTGCAGCCTGCTATGACTTAGAGGTTTCAGAATAGCTAATCTACCTTCTCCTCATTCTATCAACCCTGCCACTAGCTTGTTATACCTAATGGAAACTGTGTGAGTTAGGGCAAAAAGCTCTGTCCTTCTGAGCCTCTGAAGTCTAACCTTAAAATGATGCATTCAATGAAGTGGCCTGCCAGGCCACAATTGGCTTTTCATTATGTGTATCCAAAGGTAAGTTGTTTCTCTAGGCATCTATTGTAAGATAACAGCCTGAGATAGGAATTACAGTTTTGGGCTCTTTCTCTAAGGCCATTGTCATGGTTTATGTCTGTGTCCTCCAGGTCTCATGAGTTTGAATTGTGCATTTGTTATTCATCCATTGTCTAGTGCTTGATGGTGTCAGTGCTCCACCCACAAAGGGGTGGAGCCAGGATGTGATGTAATGGCAGGAAGAAGGTGTGTCTTGCTCTTTGCTGGTTCTTGCTTGCTGTTTGCAGCTGACATGAACTGTGGCCCAGCCATGCCCGCCTGCCTTGGAGCCAAGTGAGTGTGGACTGAAACCTCCAAAAACTGTAAGAAATAAACCTTTCCTTTCCCAACTTTGGGCTTCAGGTATTTTGTCTCAGCGATGAGTAAAAAGTACCTAAGACAGCCATTAATGATTCCCCTCTACCTTGTCTGACTTTAAGGTCTTTGCAGACCTTACCTTGTCTGACTTTAAGGTTTTGTTTCTCTCATTTTCATGACTCAGTCTCAACTGCAATCTTCTCAGAGACATACTCCTTGACCTCCAGTGCCACAAAAGTCGTCCACTCTCATGTCAGCTGGCTGCATTTTCACCAAAGTTCTTAACATTACTTCCAATGGCCACACCTATAGATTTTAAAATGTGTTTATTGTCAATTTTCTCTTGTATAGCATAAAGTTCACCAGAGCAAGGAGCTTGTCTTTCCCATTCATGGTTATCTCCCAGTACATACACATGAGCCTACTGTACATTGGCCTGCAGTTAATATGAGTTAATACCTCCTGTGCTAGTGAATAGCTAAACTGAAGGAAGAAGCAGCCAGAGCCATGTGTACCAAGATTAGGTGGACATAGTTAGGAGGCTGCCAACCATGTGATTGGCTCTCTGAGTGGACTGTGCATGTAAGACCTGGTTTGTTGGGAGCCTAACAAAAATGAAAGCATTTCCCCTGGTGGTTCTTATGCCTGGAGAATCAAACTCCTAGAACATGCTCCTTCCAATAGAAAATGCACAGTGTATCAGCCTATAAGGACCAGGATAGAAAATGGGAGACAAGAATTGCTCTTGGGCCCCAGGAGCACTAGGTTGCTCCTTAGTTCTCAGTTAGGAGTGAATGCTACTCTATTTGCTTGGAATGATTATGAAGGAAGGATATTTAAAGAGATAACTCCATTACCAAGATTTCCACTGTATATACTTTACAATAAATTTCTTTTTCTTTTTCTTTTTTTTTTTTTTTTTTTTTTGTCTTTTTCCTTTTTACCGGTACCGGGGATCGAACTCACGACTGCCTGCTTTCAAGGCAGACACTTATGCCGCTGAGCTAAACCCCCAGCCCCTACAATAAATTTCTAAGTGAGCACTTAAATATTGCTGTTGTAAGTTATGATCTTCTTTTCATTATCCATTATCCCTTTTTCATCTGGTATCTATTTGGTAATAACTAGGAAATGAAATAAAATTCTGACAGGAGAATTTTTACAGAAGGTAGACTGGCTCTTTTAAGTAGCTTTCAGTTTGTTCCTCAGTTACTCAAAAAAGGTCAATTTGGAAATAGGGAGATCTGTTTTATTCTCTTACTTTAAACTGATGTGATAGTTCACAGAGTCCCTATCTTTTAAAGAAAACATCCTTTCATTGTCAGACATCCAATCTTTTGGGTACCAATAATGCAGTATTACACTCTGCATGGATGTCAGGCAAGAAGATAAATAAGTAACTCAGTGGTCAAGTAAATTAACAAAGTGTGTTGCTGTTGTCTAAGGCTCTGGAACATCAATGAATCCAAATGAGGGAGTAAGAAATTAGGATTCTTTTCCATAACGATTTTTGGATGTCACTTTCTCATCGCTGAGACAAAATGCCTGACACTTGCAGGTTAAAGGAAGAGAGAGTCCTGCTTTTGATTTCCAGAAGATTAGGTCCATGATTGGTTGGTTTCAAGGCAGAAATAGCATGACAAAAAAGCATAGCAGAGAAAACCTCCTTAACCCATGGTAACTAGGAACTAGGGAAAATGGAGAAGAGCCGGGGACACGAATACACACTTTATGTTCATTTTCAGTGACCTGCTTCTTCCAACCAGGCCTCTCCTCTATAACATGTGACTTTTAGAAGCTATTTTAAATCTAAACCAAAACATTCTGCCTCAGCCCCTAAAAAGTACATAACAATTTTATTATGCAAAATGTGTTTAGCCCATCTTTAAGGGTTGCCAGAAGTTTTAGAGTTCCAGCATTATTCAAAAGGCCAAGTCCAAAGTCTCCTTTGAGACGCAAGAAAAACTCTTAGCTGTGAGCCTCTTTACAAATCTGGAAGAAAGCTAAATACTTTTAATATACAATGACATGGCAAATATTCTCATTTCAAAAGGGAAGAAAAGGTAGATACAAATGAAACCAAAGCTCAGTAGAGCAAATACTAAATCTTGTAAGAGCTCCACTTTCAGTGAATATGCTGCAGTGAGATGTGTACTTTAGAGGGCTTGGGCAGCTCTTTCTCTATGGCCTTTGCTGGTTACAGCCCATATGCATTCTCTCTTGGACTATGTCCAATCAGTCCCTATGACTTTCCTCGAAAGATGATCCACATTTCTTGCATCTCCAACTTCCTGAGTTCTCCATTGCACCTTTGACTTCACTCTCACAACTTCACTCATCGCCCTCTTAAGGGTCTTGCCCTTCTAGGTCTTCCTTTGAAGTCTGAAAGGAAGCCTCCATGGTCACACAACTTTTGTATTCTGCATGCCTGAAAAACCAGTACCATATGGATGACACCAAGTTTCTGCCAGGAGTTTGAACAGTACTCTAGTCGCCTTACACATTAGCTGTGGTGGCCTCTGACTACCTAGATCTCTAATACTTCTCTAGATATCCACAAATTTGGAGGGTCCCCTGGGGCTATTTTCTTAAAGCAAAACTTTTCAAAGGAATTTACTGTTTTATACCATTGAGACTATGATGGGTCAGTTCTGGACAATTCTTGAGATGCCTTTAAATCATTTTTTTGGGAGTTTTGATGCTAAGTATTTGGCTTCTTTTTAATGCCTATCTTTTTAGAACCAGGTTTCCCTTGCACATGCTTCTTTTTTTTTGCCCACAAGCAAAGTACTTCACATTTTTTGGCTCTACTTTCTACTCTTGATTCTTACTGTAAATCTGGCTAAAGTCAGCCAGCAGTGCCCGTTTAACAGACTGAATGTTGATCTGCTTTAAAAATTTGTTCACCAGATTAATTAGTTAACAACCTTTAAATTCCACCTCATACAAAGTCACAAGAGATGGAGAAAATGAAGACAATTTCATTACCAGTATGAGACATGTGTGGATTCTAGTCCAGTTCCCAATAGACTGTTCATTTTCAGCTGATATCTCATAAGCCTGGCCTTTATTGTTCATATCCCTATCAGCATTCTGGTCTGAATTTACTCCTACAAACCAGTTTCAAAGGCTTCTAAACCACATGATCAGGTTGCATCACAGAAATGTACTACTCTTTGCACCAGTTTTTGGTATTAGTAACTTTCCCATCATTAGGACAAAATACCAAACACTCAGATAAAAGAATTCACTTTATTCCATGATTTGAGAAAGATTTTGGCTGTCATTGGTTGACTTCAAGGCAGAAACAGCACAGTAGAAAGGCATGGCAGCGGAAAGCTACTCAATCTACAATAGCCAGGAAACAGGGAGGGGAACAGTCAGGGACAACAGGAGTACACTCTACTAAGTCACATACTCTGTGATCTGCCTCTTCCAACTAGACTGAATCTCTGCGAACATGATATTTTGTGGGGACTTTTAAAATATAAACTGCAACAACGTGAAACACATTTTAAAATTTTCTTTTTCTAGAATATAAAGGAAATGACCAACACACCAACTTCGTCCTCCGTACATAAGCTGTATCCAGCTGCATTAGAGGACTCCCCAACCACCCAAAGATTTGGTTTGCATGCGGTGTGAGCATCCAGATTATACAGACTGCTCTCAGTGTGGTGAAGAGTATTGGGTTCAGCATCCTCACAGCAAAAGGGTGAGTATATTCAGGTCTCACTGTTGGCAAAGCTACAAATTGCGCTTTTGTGGGAGTTGGAGAAGTCACAATTGGTTGTCTGTTTCTTGATGAACACAGTAAAGAGGCAGGGTGGCCTCTTTTTCCTGCGCCCAGTACAAGAATTTGGGAGCATTGCCTCCTACTTGCCCACTAACAGGCTTTCCCCGAGTCTCACTGCCAAACACTCTGTGACTCAGCTCCTTCCTTTGCAAACTGAGGATGGTCAGATTAATTCAGAAGCTGTGAGGCAAGCTTGAAAAGGTCTTTGAAAATGCCAGCTCATGTAGAATAACTGGCTATCTTCTATGGCTTGGGAACTGGCAAAAAGATTTTTCCTTTCTTGGGGGTAGTCGTCTGTGGCTTTCTATGTAGAAGTTTGGGGTGGCCTGGCATAGAATTTCCTTGATCTCTTCCAAGTGCTTTTCGGACCTGTGGCCCATTGTAGGAGCTTTCCTCCTTGCTTTCAGGATGCTGTAAGCTCTGCTGTGTCCTAGGCTTCATTGTGTCATTTTCTAATTCTCACAAAAGTCACTTTTAGCTGGACATGATAGCACACACTTGTAATTTCAACACTTGGGAACCCTGAGGCACAAGGATCACAAATTTGAGCCTACCTTGGGCAACCTAGCAACTTAGTGAGACCCTGTCTCAAAATAACAAGAAAAAAAAAAAGGTAGGGGTATAGCTCAATGTAAAGGCCCTGGCCCCAATCATTAGTACCACAAAAAAAGTCGTTTTTAACAGTAAAGGATTTGAGCAGATGGTTAACACAGAATGAAATTAAGTGAAATGTCACATAGAAGAAATACTTGGTCTTTAAAAACAATTCAGGTTAGCAGAAATCACTATAAGAGCTAAAAGGACACCTATCTATTAATTGCATGGTTAGTGGTTTTCAATTATTCTAGTTCTTCTAGGTAGTAATCTGCCAGTGTGGAATGAAAGATATAACTTGCTCAGAAGAAAAGGTTCCCAAAAGAATAAAAGAGCAAATTATTAGAAAATATCCATAAGAGTAATTTAAAACAATGAATACAAAAAAGGGGAAAATCACCCAAATAACAACCAGGAGAGGAATGTTTAAGTAAAATCTGGTGCCTTATTGCTCTGGGATATCATATATTAGAAGTCTTGGCAGAGTGGTAGGCTAACAAGCCATGATCAGTAGTCAAAGTTTATGATCTTCCTAAGGTATATTGAAATAAAAATAGCAGATAAAATTACTGTCATACCAAGGTACAACATAAATATGTATCAATCCCTCAAAATTAATGTAATTATCATATATTGAAAACATATAAACTGATAAAAATTCCCATATAGATGTGGAAATGTTGCATTTAAGTTCATGGAAGGATATATATATATATATACATATATATATATATATATATGTATTATGTAGCATTTATTGAAAAATATTTTATATACAGTGATTGTAACTGTAAAAAAAGCATTTGTGTGTCCTCATGGCTCACTCAAATACATTCAAATGTATGTATAATAATATGAATGTTTTGGTAGTTAAAAAATGAAATTTTACAATAAAATTGATAATACTATAACCAAGCAAATGCACACACCCTAATCATTTCCAGATGCTTGTTTCCAGATAAGGTATTAATTTGTTCCTTTTCCTCTAGAATTTGGCATAATATCCTACACATAGTAAATATTCAGTGTACATTGACTGAAAGTCGTAATATCATATTCAATTACTTTAGGTGGAAGCTTTTAGCCACTGAATTGATGCAGGTGTATCATCTAGGTGACATAGAACCATTTCTGCCCCTGTCTTTCTCTCCTAATGGTTTTATGAAAGCTACATTTACACATATCCAGAGCGTTCTTAAATTAAGTCACTGCCAAGAATTAAAAATAGGACATCAGGAAGGAAGGAAGGGATTGAATGATTTTGGGGGACAAGATCATTTATTTGCCATTCAAATTATGCTATGTAGATAGCTAAGTGTAGGCATCTCCCAGTAGGCCTTGTCCTGGAAAACAGACATCGTGTCTCTAGCATGATCTGTCTTGGGATGCCATGCACTATGGTGTCCCATGGCGGAGCAGAGAGCCATACAGAAGTTTAATTGAAACACGCTCTAGGATAGTTATTATGTTTTCATATCTTCATCTAATAAGTGGGGTTTCCCTGAACAAAGTGTCTGTCCTTCTTAAGGAAAGAAATGAAATGCTTCTGAGAATGGATTTCTCTTCTAAGAGGAAGATACTTTCTCTTTCTCTACTACTCACCAGTGTTGGGGATTTCTAGATAATATATGCTTAAGGATTAAAGCTCCTTCACTTCAGTTTTTGTGGTGTAGTTTTTTCCTAGAGGTAATGTGATTGTATGCATGTGCAAGCATGCATCATGTGTGTGTACTATTAAGTGCAGAGTAACTGTAGTGGCATTCAAAGCCCGGGATATAATGGTTAGAGGTACACAGGGTTCTTATAACAGGGTTTGAGAGGGAATAGATTTAATAGTTTTATATGAGACATAAGATATATAGGATTATTTTATAATATTCATCCAAAAATTCAAATGCAGAGGAGCACAAGAGATCTGTTCGTGAGCTATATATCCAAAGAATCCAGCTGCAGGTCTAGATCCCACAGCAATATCCTGCATAAGTCCAATTGAAGACCTAGAGCCCATGGCAATGTCCTCCATTAGTCTAGCTAGAGCCTAGAGCCCATGGTAATGCCTCATGTAGTTCTGTAGGAAGGATCTGTACTCAGAAGGCCCTGAGGCCAGTGGTGGAAGCTAGAAAGTCTGCCCCTTCTAGAAAGCTAGAAGGATGAAGTATCTGTGCCACAAGGCTGAGGGATCTGCACTGTAGCCAGGAAGTGATGCTCAAGGTAAAGACCAGAACTCCCCTGAAGAGAACAGCAGTCATCCTCAGTGACAGAGAGTACCTGAGCTTCTTGGATGAATGATGAGAACAGCTGAGTCCATATCAGGAGAATCAACTGCACATCATCTTCCCCTCCAGTTAGTTCTCCTTCTATGCTATTGGCAACAGTCCTGTGCTGATTCAGTTCAGCTGGGTGTTGCAACTTGACTATTAGTTAAACTGCAAGGGTACCATGTAATATACAGGCATGAAGACTGACTCAATTCTAAAGGGAAATTTGAGGCCTTTGCTTTACATTAGCAGAGATGAAATCTTAGCCTGCTGTGTCAGTTTGCATATGTCATGACATTTAGGTGACAAAGTAATTGACTGTGGGAAATATGAACATTAAAATATATTACATCAATGAAAATTTTATTGTCAATCACCAATAAATACTTACTAAGTGCTAAATTGAGTTTTTAAAAAAATGGCCTTTGGTTTAGGTGCAGACTAAGGTTTTTATATTGTATTTTTAAGCTTTGAGGTCAGAGTCAATCAATGAAATTTCCATTCGAAGAATCTGGCAATTTTCCCATAAAGACTGTCAATTAAATATAAGATGGAAGGATTAAATTCTTATACTGTCAAACAGTTTCTGTCTTATGGAGCTATTTATCTTCTGGGTTTGTGATGCTACCAGAGTATTTCATTCATAATCTGTTTAACAGGTTTAGTTACCTTGGTGAATTTATTATAGCAGTAGCTACTTGAGAGAATGATAACACTAAATCACAAAATGTTATTTGTTAGGATTGAATCATTGAAGAATAAGACAGTATGTTTTTGTGTATAAAGACCTTAATATTACTCAAAAGTAGAATAACAACGCTGAGCTTTGATTTCTTGTTTGCTCATGCATGGACAAGACTGACCCTTATTTTTTATAGTATCCTATGATATTTAGCACATCTTGCTTTTTATTGAGGCTATTTCCTTTATATCACCTACTTTTTCACCTAGGTTTTAATCTGCTTGTGATCAGTGACTATTTATATATCATAGGTTGTGGAATTTAGTAATTTGTGCTTTTTGATTGCATAAGAACTGAAATCTATTAAACTATCTAGGGTTAGCAAAGAGGGTATTTTACTCACTTCAGAATGCTAAAGCTTTTTAGAAACAAACTGACACCCTGCTTGCATTACAAGAAAGACTTTTAGAAATTCTTCCTAAATAGGTGAACTTGTCTGAACATCATGTGTGAGGAATCGTGTGGGAGCAGTGACCTCTCATTGACTCCAGTGCACTTGATAATGTTTATTGACTTTGCCTGCAAATTTCTGAATTCTGTATGGGAACTATAATTATTTTCATAGGCAGTTTCCCTAAGGAGACTCTTTTATGTGCTTGGCAAACACTGGTTCATATGCTACCCTGAAAACAAGAGATCTCAGAGAACTAATAAGGAAGGATTCAGAGATCATTCTGGAAAGTATAATAGGCATGCATGTTTTCATGGAGTCTGTTTTAGATTGAGAAATCCCACCCTTTACCTGCAAGTTCAGCACCTAAGTTTCTTTTGGAGGATCGGACTGCTAGGAGTTGTTAGTGATTTTCCAGAGTCATGGTTGCAAAACTGACAGTAGACAAACACGATGTGAAATTCAGACTCTGGGTGGTTAGAGCATATTTTCAAGAGGCATTTTAGTTGGTTGCATTTTTGATGGTTGTGAGAATCCAAGAATCTCAAGATATTCAGCTGGTCTTGATAATGGTGTTTGAATCAGTATCAAGTGGATTCAGTGCTCACTGCTATCAGACTCTTGAATATAAACCAGGAAGATGGCTATGATTGCTAACACACACAACTTTCAGGTCTGTGTAATCCCTAGGAAGTAATTTTTTTTCCTTTTCATTTCCAAATACTGGGATCAATTGGCGTGTGTCTGTTTTCAAGCCTCCTGCACTGGTGGTCTATGGATATGTGTGCCACATGGTGTAGCTTTACTTCTTTGAATCTTGAACCTACAACCCTTTTCTGGATTATCCCTGTGAGTCTCTACTACCCAGTTCTACTTCCCTAGTACTTCTGCATGGTTTTGAGAAAGGGAAATGTACAGTCCCACCATGACTAAG